GGGGGCCGGAGACGGCCGAGCCCGGGGCCGGAGACGGCCGAGCCCGGGGCCGGAGACTGGGGGGCCGGAGACCGCCGAGACTGAGAGCCCGGAGACTGAGGGGCCGGACACGACCGAGCCCAGGGACGGAGACTGGGGGCCGGGGACGGCCGAGCCCGGGGCCGGAGACTGGGGGCCGGAGACGGCCGAGCCCGGAGATTGGGGGCCGGAGACGGCCGAGATTCAGGGGCCGGAGACGGACGTGCCCGGGGCCGGAGACTGGGGGCCGGAGACGGCCGAGTCCGGAGCCGGAGACTGGGAGACAGATACTGTGGGCCGGCGACGGCCGTGCGCGGGGCGACAGACTGGGGGCCGGAGACGGCCGGGCCCGGGGCCGGAGACTGGGGGCCGGAGACGGCCGAGACTGAGGAGCCGGAGACGGCCGAGCACGGGGCCGGAGATTGCAGAGACTGAGGGGCCAGATACGGACGAGCACGGGGCCGGAGACGGCCGAGCCCGGGAACGGAAACTGTGGGCTGGAGACGGCCGAGCCCGGGGCCGGAGACTGGGGGCCGGAGACGGCCGAGCCCGGGGCCCGAGACTGGGGGTCGCAGACGGCCGAGCCCGGAGCCGGAGACTGGGGGCCAGATACTGTGGGCCGGCGACGGCCGAGCCCGGGGCAGGAGACTGGGGGCCAGAGACGGCCGAGCCCGGGGCCGGAGACTGGGGGCCGGAGACGGCAGAGCCCGGGGCCGGAGACTGGGGGCCGGAGACGGCAGAGCACGCTGCCGGAGACGGCCGGGGCCGGAGACTGGGGGCTGGCGACGGCCGAGCCCGCAGCCGGAGACTGGTGGCCGGAGACGGCCGAGACTGAGAGCCTGGAGACTGAGGGGCCGTGGACTGGGGGCCGGAGACGGCCAAGCTCGCGACCAGAGAATGGGGGTCGGAGACTGGGGGCCGGAGACGGCCGAGTCCGGGGCCGGAGACTGGGGGCCAGATACTGAGGGCCAGCGACGGCCGAGCCCAGGGCGGGAGACTGGGGGCCGGAGACAGTGGGTCGGAGAATGGGGGCCGGAAACTGGTGGCCGGAGACTGGGGGCCGGAGACGGCCGTGCACGAGGCGACAGACTGGGAGCCGGAGACGACCGGTCCCTGAGACTGGTGGGCGGGGACTGGGGGCCGGAGACGGCCGAAACTGAGAGCCCGGAGACCGAGGGGCCGGAGACGGCCGAGCCCGGAGACTGGGGGCCGGAGACGGACGAGCCCGGGGCCGGAGACGGCCGTGCACGGGGCGACAGACTGGGAGCCGGGGACGACCGGTCCCTGAGACTGGTGAGCGGAGGCTGGGGGCCGGAGACGGCCGAGATTGAGGGGCCGGAGACTGGGGGCCGGAGACGGCCGAGCCCTGGGCCGGAGACTGGGGGCGGAGACTGGGGGCCGGAGACGGACGAGCCCGGGGCCGGAGACTGAGGGGGCGGAGACTGGGGGCCGGAGACGGACGAGCCCGGGGCCGGAGACTGGCGGCCGGAGACGGCCGTGCACGGAGCGACAGACTGGGAGCCGGAGATGACCGGTCCCTGAGAATAGTGGGCGGGGACTGGGGGCCGGAGACGGCCGAGCCCGGAGATTGGGGGCCGGAGACTGGGGGCCGGAGACGGCCGAGTCCGGAGCCGGAGACTGGGGGCCGGAGACGGCCGCGACTGAGGGGCCGACAACGGCCGAGCACGGGGCCGGACACTGGGGGCCGGAGATTGCAGAGACTGAGGGGCCGGATACGGACGAGCACGGGGCCGGAGACGGCCGAGCCCGGGAACTGAAACTGTGGGCTGAAGACGGCCGAGCCCGGGGCCGGAGACTGGGGGCCGTAAACGACCGCGCCCGGGGACGGAGACTGGGGTACAAAAACTGGTTGCCGGCGACGGCCGAGCACGGAGCCGGAGACTGGTGGCCGGAGACTCGGGGCCGGAAACGACCGAGCCCGGGGCCGGAGACTGGGAGCCGGAAACTGGTGGCCGGCGATAGACTGGGAGCTGGAGACGACCGATCCCTGAGACTGGTGGGCGGAGACTGAGGGCCGGAGACGGCCGAGCCCGCTGCCGAAGACGGCCGGGGCCGGAGACTGGGGGCCGGCGACGGCCGAGACTGAGAGCATGGAGACTGAGGGGCCGGAGAATGGGGGCCTGAGACGGCCGAGTCCGGAGCCGGAGACTGGGGGGCCGGAGGCGGCCGAGCCCGGGGCAGGAGACTGGGGGCCAGAGACGGCCGAGCCCGGGGCCGGATACTGTGTGCCGGCGACGGCCGAGCTCGGGGCCGGAGAATGGGGGCCGGCGATGGCCGAGCCCGGTTTTTGTCATCTTTTTGTATGACTTTGTGGTTGTTTTAAGTGCCTTTGCAATCATTTAGTACCTCTCTGTGGTTGTGTTCTGTCTGGTTTTAGTCGTTTTTCATGTTTAAGTGGTCGTTTTAACAACTCCTTGTGGGCATTTTATGTCTCTTTGCGATCTTTTGCATGTATTTTCTATCTCTGTGTTTGTTTTACGTCTCTTTCTCCTCACTTTTCATCTCTTTGTGGCTNCGGGGCTGGCGACTGGGAGTCGGATACTGTGGGCCGGAGACGTCCGAGCCCGGGGCCGGAGACGGCCGAGCCCGGGGCCGGAGACTGGGGGCCGGCGACGGCCGAGTCCGGAGCCGGAAACGGCGGGCTGGGGGCTGAGGGCCGGATACTGTGGGCCGGCGACGGCCGAGCCCGGGGCAGGAGACTGGGGGCCGGAGACGGCCGATCCCTGAGACTGGTGGGCGGAGACTGGGGGCCGGAAACGACCGAGCCCGGGGCCGGAGACTGGGGGCCGGAGACGGTCGAGCCCGCTGCCGGAGACGGCCGGGCCCGGAGACTGGGGGCCGGAGAATGGGGACCGGAGACGGACGAGATTGAGAGCCTGGAGACTGAGGGGCCGGAGACGGCCGAGCCCGGAGCCGGAGACTGGGGGCCGTATACTGTGGGCCGGCGACGGCCGAGCCCGGAGCCGGACACTGAGGGGACGGAGACTGGGGGCCGGAGACGGCCGAGACTGAGGGGCCGGATACGGACGAGCACGGGGCCGGAGACTGGGGGCCGTAAACGACCGCGCCCGGGGCAGTAGACCGAGGGCCGGAAACGACCGCCCCCACGGCCGGAGACGGCCGAGCCCGGGGCTGGCGACTGGGAGCCGGATACTGTGGGCCAGAGACGGCCGAGCCCGGGGCAGGAGACTGGGGGCCATAGACGGCCGAGCCCGGGGCCGGAGACTGGGGGCCGGAGACGGCCGAGCCCGGGGCCGGAGACTGCGGGACTGAGACGGACGAGATTGAGAGCCCGGAGACTGAGGGGCCGGAGAATGGGGGCCGGAGACGGCCGAGCCCGAGGCCGGAGACCGGGGGCCGTAGACGGCCGGGTCCGGAGCCGGAGACTGGGGGCCAGATACTGTGGGCCGGCGACGGCCGAGCCCGGGGCAGGAGACTGGGGGCCAGAGACGGCCGAGCCCGGGGCCAGAGACGGCCGAGCCCGGAGACTGGGGGCCGGAGACGGCCGAGCTCGGGACCGGAGAATGGGGGCCGGAGACTGGGAGCCAGATACTGTGGGCCGGCGATGGCCGTGCGCGGGGCGACAGACTGGGTGCCGGAGACGGCCGAGCCCTGGGCCGGAGCCGGCGGGCCGGAGGCTGGGGGGCGAAGACGTCCGAGCCCGGGGCCGGAGACTGGGGGCCGGAGACGGCCGAGTCCGAAGACGGAAACGGCGGGCTGGGGACTGGGGGCCGGAGACGGCCGTGCCCGGGCCGGAGACTGTGGGCCTGAGACGGACGAGATTGCGAGCCCGGAGACTGAGGGGCCGGAGACTGGGGGGCGGAGACGGCCGAGCCCGTGGCCGGTGACTGTGGGCCGGCGACGGCCGAGCCCGCTGCCGGAGACGGCCGGGCCCGGAGACTGGGGGCCGGAGANACGAGTCCGGGGAAGGAGACTGGGGGCCAGAGACGGCCGAGACCGTGGCCGTAGACTGGGGGCCGGAAACGACTTAGCCCGGGGCCGGAGACTGGGAGCCGGGAACTGGTGGCCGGCGACGGCCGAGCCCGTGGCCCGAGACGGCCGGGCTCGGAGACTGGGGGCCGGAGAATGGGGGCCGGCGACGGCCGAGCCCGGAGCCGGAGACTGGGGGCCGGAGACGGCCGAGCCCGGGGCCGAAGACTGTGGGCCGGCGACGGCCGAGCCCGGGGAAGGAGACTGGGGGCCAGAGACGGCCGAGCCCAGGGAAGGAGACTGGGGGCCGGAGACGGCCGTACGCGGGGCGACAGACTGTGAGCCGGAGACGATCGATCCCTGAGATTGGTGGGCGGAGACTGGGGGCCGGAAACGACCGAGGCCGGGGCCGGAGACTGGGAGCCGGAGACGGCCGAGCCCGGGGCCGGACAATGAGGGGCCGGAGACGGTCGTGCCCGGGGCCGGAGATTGGGGTACGAAAACTGGTGGCCGGCGACGGCCGAGCCCGGAGACTGGTGGCCGGAGACTGGGGGCCGGAGACGGCCGCGCCCGGGGGCGGAGACTGGGGGCCGGCGACGGCCGAGTCCGGAGCCGGAGACGGCAGGCCGGAGGCTGGGGGCCGGAAACGACCGATGCCGGAGACTGGTGACCGGAGACTCGGGGCCGGCGACGGCCGAGCCCGTGGCCGGAAACTGGTGGCCGGCGACGGACTTGGAGCCGGAGACGACCGAGCCCGGGGCCGGAGACTGGGGGCCGGAGACGGACGAGATTGAGAGCCCGGAGACTGAGGGGCCGGAAACGACCGATCCCGGAGACTCGGGGCCGGAGGCGGTCGAGCCCGGAGACTGGGGACCGGAGACGTCCGAGCCCGGGGCTGGCGACTGGGAGCCGGATACTGTAGGCCTGCGACGTCCGAGCCGGGAGCCGGAGACTGGGGGCCGGAGACGTCCGAGCCCGTGGCCGGAGACTGGGGGCCGGAGACGGTCGAGCCCGGGGCCGGAGAATGGGGGCCGGCGACGGCCGAGCCCGGAGACGGAGACTGTGGGCCGTATACTGTGGGCCGGCGACGGCCGAGCCCGGAGCCGGAGACTGGGGGCCGGAGACGGNGGGGCCGGAGACGGGCGTGAGCGGGGTGACAGACTGGGAGCCGGAGACGACCGATCCCTGAGACTGGTGGGCGGAGACTGGGGGCCGGAAACGACCGAGCCCGGGGCCGGAGACTGGGAGCCGGAAACTGGTGGCCGGCGACGGCCGAGCCCGCTGCCGGAGACGGCCGAGCCCGGGGCAGGAGACCGAGGGCCGGAAACGACCGCCCCCGGGGCTGGCCACTGGGAGCCGGAGACTGTGGGCCGGAGACGGCCGAGCCCGGGGCCGGAGACTGGGGGCCGGAGACGGCCGAGCCCGGGTCCGGAGACTGGGGGCTGGGGACAGGGGGCCGGATACTGTGGGCCGGCGACGGTCGAGCCCGGGGCAGGAGACTGGGGGCCAGATACTGTGGGCCGGCGACGGCCACGCCCGGGGCAGGAGACTTGGGGCCAGAGACGACCGATCCCTGAGACTGGTGGGCGGAGCCTGGGAGCCGGGAACTGGTGGCCGGCGACGGCCGAGCCCGCTGCCGGAGACGGCCGGGCCCGGAAACTGGGGGCCGGAGACTGGGGGCCGGAGACGGCCGAGCCCGGGGCCGGAGACTGCGGTACGGAGACGGACGAGATTGAGAGCCCGGAGACTGAGGGGCCGGAGAATGGGGGCCGGAGACGGCCGGGCCCAGAGACTGGGGGCAGGACACTGTGGGCCGGCGACGGCCGAGCCCGGGGCAGGAGACTGGGGGCCATAGACGGCCGAGCCCGGGGCCGGAGACTGCGGGACGGAGACGGCCGAGCCCGGGGCCGGAGACTGCGGGACGGAGACGGACGAGATTGAGAGCCCGGAGACTGAGGGGCCGGAGACTGTGGGCCGCCGACGGTCTAGCCCGGGGAAGGAGACTGGGGGCCGGAGACGGCCGATCCCTGAGACTGGTGGGCGGAGACGGGGGGCCGGAAACGACCGAGCCCGGGGCCGGAGACTGGGAGCCGGAGACGGCCGAGCCCGGGGCCGGAGACTGGGAGCCGGAGACGGCCGAGCCCGGGAGCCGGAGACGGCCGAGCCCGGAGACTGGGAGCCGGAGACGGCCGAGATTGAGAGCCGGAGACTGGGCGCCGTATACTGTGGGCCGGCGACGGCCGAGCCCGGGGCAGGAGACGGCCGAGCCCGGAGACTGGGAGCCGGAGACGGCCGAGCCCGGGGCCAGAGACTGGGGGCCGGAGACGGCCGAGCTCGGGACAGGAGAATGGGGGCCGGAGACTGGGAGCCAGATACTGTGGGCCGGCGATGGCCGTGCGCGGGGCGACAGACTGGGTGCCGGAGACGTCCGAGCCCGGGGCCGGAGACTGGGGGCCGGAGACGGCCGAGCTCGCGACCAGAGAATGGGGGCCGGAGACTGGGGGCCGGAGAATGGGGGCCGGCGACGGCCGAGTCCGGAGCCGGAAACGGTGGGCTGGGGACTGTGGGCCGGAGACGGCCGTGCCCGGGGCCGGAGACTGTGGGCCGGAGACGGACGAGATTGAGAGCCCGGAGACTGAGGGGCCGGAGACTGGGGGCCGGAGACGGCCGTGAGCGGTGCGACAGACTGGGGGCCGGAGACGACCGAGCCCGGAGCCGGAGACTGGGATCCGGAAACTGGTGGCTGGCGACGTCCGAGCCCATGGCCGGAGACTGGGGGCCGGGGACGGCCGAGCCCGCAGCCCGAGACTGGGGGCCGGGGACGGCCGAGCCCAGGGCCGGAGACTGGGGGCCGGAGACGGAGAGCATGGAGACTGAGGGGCCGGCGACGGCCGAGCCCGCAGCCTGAGACTGGGGGCCGGGGACGGCCGAGCCCAGGGCCGGAGACTGGGGGCCGGAGACGGCCGAGACGGAGAGCCTGGATACTGAGGGGCCGGAGATGGCCGAGCTCGCGACCAGAGAATGTGGGCCGGAGACGGCCGAGCCCGGGGCCGGAGACTGGGGGCCAGAGACGGCCGGGTCCGGAGCCGGAGATTGGGGACCAGATACTGTGGGCCGGCGACGGCCGAGCCCGGGGCAGGAGACTGGGGGCCAGAGACGGCCGTGCCCGGGGCCGGAGACTGGGGGCCGGAAACGACCGAGCCCGGGGCCGGAGACTGGGAGCCGGAGACTGGTGGCCGGAAACGGCCAAGACTGAGAGCCTGGAGACTGAGGGGCCGGAGACTGGGGGCCGGAGACGGCCGAGCCCAGGGCCGGAGAATGGTGGCCGGAGACTGGTGGCCGGAGACTGGGGGCCGGAAACGGCCGTGCCCGGGGCAGGAGACTGGGGCCCGGAGATGGCCGAGACTGAGGGGCCGGAGACTGTGGGGCCGGAGACGCCCGAGCCCGGGTCTGGAGACTGGGGGCCGGCTACTGTGGGCCGGCGACGGCCGAGCCCGGGGCAGGAGACTGGGGGCCAGAGACGGCCGAGCCCGGGTCATGAGACTGGGGGCCGTAAACTGAAGGCCGGGGACAGCCGAGCCCAGGGCCGGAGACTGGGAGCCGGAGACTGAGAGCCCGGAGACTGGGGGCCGGAGACGGCCGAGCCCGGGGCGAGAGGCTGGGGGCCGGAAACGCCCGAGCCCGGGGCCGGAGACTGGGAGCCGGAAACTGGTGGCCGGCGACGGCTGAGCCCGTGGCCGGAGACTGGGGGCCGGGGACGGCCGAGCCCGCAGCCCGAGACTGGGGGCCGGGGACGGCCGAGCCCGGAGACTGGGGGCCGGAGACGGCCGAGCCCGGGTCATGAGACTGGGGGCCGTAAACTGAAGGCCGGGGACGGCCGAGCCCAGGGCCGGAGACTGGGAGCCGGAGACTGAGAGCCCGGAGACTGGGGGCCGGAGACGGAGACTGGGGGCCAAATACTGTGGGCCGGCGACGGCCGAGCACGGGGCAAGAGAATGGGGGCCAGAGACGGCCGAGCCCTGGGCCGGAGCCGGCGGGCCGGAGGCTGGGGGCCGGAGAATGGGGGCCAGCGACGGCCGAGCCCGGAGCCGGAGACGGCGGGCCGGAGGCCGGGAGCCGGAGACGGCTGAGCCCGGGGCTGGAAACTGGTGGCCGTAGACTGGGGGCCGGAAACTAGTGGCCGGCGACGGCCGAGCCCGTGGCTGGAGACTGGGGGCTGGAGACGGCCGAGCCCGGGGCTGGAGACTGGGGGCCAGAGAATGGGGGCCGGCGACGGCCGAGCCCGGTTTTTGTCATCTTTTTGTATGACTTTGTGGTTGTTTTAAGTGCATTTGCAATCATTTAGTACCTCTCTGTGGTTGTGTTCTGTCTGGTTTTAGTCGTTTTTCATGTTTAAGTGGTCGTTTTAAAAACTCCTTGTAGGCATTTTATGTCTCTTTGCGATCTTTTGGATGTATTTTCTATCTCTGAGTTTGTTTTACGTCTCTTTCTCCTCACTTTTCATCTCTTTGTAGCTGTTTTGCAGCTCTTTTAGGTCATTTCATCTTACTATGTGGCCACTTTTCATCTCTTTACGGTTGTTTTGCATCGTTGTGTTGCAACTCTGCACTTGTTTTGCATTTCTTGGGGGTTATTTTGCATTTTTCTGCGTGCTGCTTTGCATCCCTTTATCGGTGTTCTATGTCTCCTTGCAGTCGTGTTGTACTTCTCTGTTGCCGTATTGTGTCTCTTTGTAGTAATGTTTCATCTCTCTGTAGTTGTTTTGCATCTTGTATCAGTTGTTTTATGTATCTTTGTGGTAGTTTTGCATCTCTTTGTGGTTGTTTTCTGTCTGGTTTTAGTTGTTTTTCAGGTTTTTGCGGTTGGTTTAACAACTCCTTGTGGGTGTTTTATGTCTCTTTGCGATCATTTTCTATCTCTGTGTTTGTTTTACGTCTCTTTCTTCTCATTTTTCATCTCTTTGTGGTTGTTTTGCAGCTCTTACAGATCATTTCATGTTTCTACGTGGCCACTTTTCATCTCTTTACGGTTGTTTTGCATCGTCATGTTACAACTCTGTGCTTGTTTTGCATTTCTTGGCAGTTATTTTGCATTGTTTTGCATCTCTCTGTCATCATTTTACATTGACTGTCACTTGACTGACTGTCAACAGAGAAGCGTTCACAGTAACTTGGTACGGAGGCTGAACCAATGAGGATTGTTAAGTAATTATTATCCAATACTGACACATCAATCATCTCATCTTCTGACTCCAGGTCTCCCCTCTGGTCATGTATATATGCTACTATGTGCATACATGTTCACAGCAGCAGTGCTTGACCCAAATCCTTCCTCTCACTAATAGGATCATTGTTTAAGCCTGAACACTTAAAGCTACCTGATGACTACAGACTATGAACGTATGAGACTGTGTGAGACGGAGCCGAGTACCTTTCCTTCCTGGCCGTACGCCGGGGTCAGACACGGGGCTCGCCCTGCCGTTGGAAAGGTCCGATCTGATCATGCCGGCCTGTCCTCCATCCCTCTTTGCCTCTTTCTTTATCTCCTACAGAGAGAAAGGCAGGGGGAGGTGATTAGTGGAAGAGGAAGGCAGGAAGGTTCAGGTGAGAAGACGTCAGGTACAGAAACAAATAAGGTGAGAATGAGACAGGAGAGGAACGAGAGGCAATACAGCTGGAACATGTTGCCACATACGTGTTCCTCTTTCTCTAAATGTCAGATTATTTATACTTTAAAGGAAAATGCAATGTAATCACATTGGCCCCATTTGTCAGCAATATGACCAAACATGACACATCTCATGTCTGAATGAAAACTTAATTATAAAATAAATTATCTTTCAAACGACTGCTTTACTCAAACAGAATAACAAAGAATTACGCTGTTTACAGTGTCATTTGCTCCTTTAAGTGCTCAAATAACAAATAGTAGCAGCTTTACTTCCTAAATTACGTCATTTTGTCAACATCAGAAGCGTTAATGCAGAACTTGGTGGTTGTCAGAATTTTCTAATTCTCTCGTGTATTTGGATGAACTTGAAAAATTAGTAAACGTTTAAATTTTATGCCATAAATTGAACTCCTTCGACATGTAGAATAATCTTGTATGACTGTTGTTTTATCTCGTAAGGTAAGAAATTAGAAAACCTTTACTTATTGTCCAAAAATATTAATTTAATCAAAATAAGTATATTTTAATTGACGTTTTTGGCTCATTATTTTTTATTTTTATCTCACAATCTGTACAAACTTTCTACTTAATATGAATACGTTCCTGAATTATTTAATCTTGTCAGTGTACATTTCACCATCTCACAGCATCACCACAAGAGTTGCATTCATGTGTGGTCTGATAAACTTGGCAAACACTGGAACAGAAAACATTGAGCAAAAAAAGAGGAAAAACCTGTTACTCATACAGACGGACATTTGTCACGCAATCAAGAAAACAATCCTGTCCAGAGTTGTTGCACCTATCTGGCCAAGGAGAGGCTCAGTGCTGGTATTTATCTGTAAAAATGATCATTTGGATTCCTTTCATTGTTGGCGCTGGGGGTGTGCAATAAGACGATATTAGATCGTGAACGATTAGAACGTGTAGACGTAAATGCCTGCTCAAAGTAGTTGACCCGCGGTACGAGCTGCCCAGCCGAAAATACTTCTCCAACGCTGCCGTTCACCATCTCTACTCTGAAAAGATTGATCGCAGAGTTCAGAAGTTTTACGCAACGAGTGATCTGTGGTCCAGCCGCACTTAATCTCAAAAATACATTTAAGATTGCGATAAAATCATGATTTTATAATAAAAAAAACGTGATATGATATTTTTGCCATATTGTCCACCCCTAGTTAGCGCTCTAACAATGTATAAAAGGTGGTCTCGCTATAATTGTCCTCCTCTTGTGGCAGTGAGATGAATTACTAAAACTCTATTGAAGCCTTCTTTAAGCCTTCTCCTCCATCTATTGCTTTCTCGACTATAACCCTTCCTCTGATCTCTGAGTTTCTTTAGCATCTGGAGCATCAGAAACCCATCTTGAATCCCTTCTAGGTTTTTCCTCTACAGCAGGGGTGTCGAACTCCGGTCCTCGAGGGCCGCAATCCTGCATGTTTTAGATGTTTCCCTCTTCCAACACACCTGATTCAAATGATCAGGATTCTTCTTGTAGTTTAATCGTAGCAACTGGACTTGCTTGAGTTCCTTGAAGACGTTCCACCTCTCATCCAAGAGGCTTCATCAGTTCTGACTGACTAGTTGGGAGTTCCACATACTTTTATCCTTGAGGAGCCATTAACACCAGAGTTTAGGTTTCAGTTGGGGGTTTTACACTCCAGGGGAATTACTTGAAAGGGGAAAAAACTTGTAGTTTTTAGGATTTGAAATACATCTTCAGTGACACCAGTCCTGGAACTTTTCTGACACACCTCGTATATGTGAAAACTGTATGATGAGGCTTTAAACGTGGCTAAAATATGACTAAGATATCAGCAATTTATTTGTTTCTTAAAGAAAGAATGAGAAACTGAGTATATTTTTAATAAAAGGGAAAGAAACTACAGGTAAAACTGGCATAAAATCATTTGTTTTTGACATAAGCTATGACTAAAATACATCTAAATATACATAAAATCTGCAAAATGAATGATTTCTGAAGTTATTTGTCCTGTTTGATTCATGCAAATCATCCACGTCAAACAGCATTTGTGGCTGCAGCAGCATCAGCAGTAACCGTGGTGACCCCGACTGTTTACCTGCAGAGGACCGGCTGCAGCTCGTAAAAAGCTCGGACAAACACAAACAGAGAAGCTCCCCTCCTTCACAGCTGCAGCCCTCTCTGTCCCTGTGACTTTCACCCACGTAAGGAATCACAAGACGACACGCGAATCCCATCAACGCGAACAGGACGACAGAAGAAGCCAACAAGCAGGCGGACGCACAAACCTCTGCGCACAGAGATCCAGGAAAAAACTCGATGTGACGCTTCACATCTCCCCACCACATTCATCATGACGCTGTTTCATAAGCCCTGGCCTGTGGCGAACGCAGCTCAGTGAGGCAGACGGGCCCCGGCTCGGCTGACTCAGAGTCCGAGCCCTCGTACTCGCTCGGGTTGTGTGTCGCCTGGTGTGGCGCGAAAAGCCTTAACGAGCCTCCCAGATCCAAAAATATCAAGCAGAGGAGACGTTTCCTTGACGACAGCTGAAGCTCATTTGAGGCTAAGAGACATTTTGGTGGAGCTACAAAGGTCGCAGCCTGGAAACAACACCGAGGTCAGATTGATTTTGAAGTTCAAAAAAGCATCATCTATGACTATAAACCTGGCACCGAGAGGAGAAAAAGATTCGGAGCTCCTCGTAGTCGAGGGGCCAATTAAAATCCTACATGTGGTTTGTGCGCTTTTCTTGCCACAAGATTGAAAAGAAGAAATTGATTCTTTCTTTTTATCTCTCTCAATAATAAGAGACTGTGTCGGCGTGCGTCTTCCTTTGCAGCTATTTCTAGCATCACCTGACGTGACTTCTGGTTGCTGAGGTCAGATCAAACAGCAGAATGTTTGGTGTTTGTTAAGTAGGCTAATGCAGCGCTAATGTAAGCCACAGAAACAGATATTGATTGCGCAGCCAGAGAGTCGTTTCTCGCTCTGCATGTCCTCCAAAAAAAAAAGAAAAAAAAGAAAAACCACGCATCGTGTAGAAACTTAGACCCACAGACTGACTGCTGAACACTTTCAAGTCAGAGACGCTGCACAAGCCAACCTACGCACAAACCCGCAGTGGCCATTTGTTAGCCTACAGTTTCCTCTTTTTTTTTTTTTTTTTTATGAGTAGTGACGGAAGAAGGCCGTGTTTACAGCTGTTTGGCTGCATGAAACATAAATTCTTCACCTCTTAACACCCACTTTTTATGGGATTTTCACCTATTTGGCAAACGGGAAACGCTCGTAAAAGAAGAACTACGAAGCCAAAATGCACAAATGAGACTCCATTTGAAAGGGAACATCTTTTAGTTTCTGGAAATGTGCTCGAACATGGCTCAACTAAGCTATGTTTGTGTTGCTCTGCCATAAGTCATATTTGAATAACAATAAGTAGGCCGATGCAAATCACCACATATGAATGAAATCTCAGAGCTCTGACATTATGGGAGCGAAACTAACATCTTTGAGTTACCTTCGACGGGAAGCTCTTTAAAGACAACATCTGGTTTTTAAAATGTTAACATCAAGGCTGCTTGTTCCTATACTGAATAGATGTGGAAATCAAGCACAAAAAAAAAAAAAAAAACGCTGCTGTTCTTCGAGGCCTTTGTTACGACTTGGACTGCGTTCATGCTCGACTGCAGTTCCTCCTGTGGGGATTTTGGAGGTAACCCAGAGTTAAAGGAAACCCAGCCGAAAAGAGAAGAGGAAGACGACGTGATTCATCATATCTGAACAGGAAACACCTGCATTGTGTACACTGCCTCGGTGGATTCGTATGCGTGGAAAAGCCCGACAGGCTTGCTGCGCGGTTTACACGGCGCCGCTTTAACGCTAAATATTGCTCCGTGCGTTTGCTCTATCAACAACCCCCTCTGACCTTTTCTTCTCACAGATAATGCAGAACAATGCAGTGAAGCAGCTAACGCGGCGTGTTAGGCCTCGAAACGTCGTGATGCGCAGCCGAGAGAAACAAGGAACGGGGAAACCGAGCTGATGCTTGTTTAAAAAAAAAAAAACATCATTGTGAAACGCAAAGCGGAACAGTGACGCAAAATATTATTTCCCCTCTTTTCATGCCTTCCGTCCTTATTGCACAACTCGGCTTACACTAATATACAGTCGCTTCAGAATGTATTCAAACAAGCCTTCACCTTTTGCACTCTTAATCGTGTTGTAGATTTCATTTTAAATCAAATCAAAACCTATCCTTTACAAAAGCATTCAGGTCTTTGTAGAAGCTCCAACTTTGAGTCCTCCTGGGTAGATCTCTACAAGCTTTACACACCTGATTTAGGCCAGTTTGTCCCTTTTCCCCTCTTTAATTGTATTATTTAAAGGTGAAAATCATCATTTAAAAACATATATGTGTAAACTAAAAGCACCTCCTCGACGAGATGACCAGAGTTTTATTTCGTATTTTAAAGCAGAAATGGGAAACAAACAGTTGCCCAGCTAAAAAAAAATTTGCATAATCCAGCCTCTTTGCTGGCTGCTGCTACTTCCAGGTGAGCCATGTATCCAAAATGAGCAGCTGGTGTGAGTTTTGCCAGTTTTATTGACTTGCTAAAGCTGCTTCTGCTGAAATATGTGAGCCACGAGCAAAGCAGACCAAATGTTCTGCTGTTGGCTGCGAGAGTGAACACAAGCGTCCTCATGCACTTCCAGCAGCTGAGGAAATGAAAACCCAGTGGATTCACTTTTACTCACGATGCCAATGTTGCCACAACAATAGGATTAGTGTTAGCGCTTTGTTCAGCTCGTGTGGCTAATGTTCCTCTGTGGAAACTGAGGGACATTCAGAGATGGTGGAAACTTTAAGACCGATTTAGAACCGCTAAACAAGG